CGTGGTGCGAGCGCGTCGACGGCGAGGGCCATGCCCAGATCCTCCAGCTGCCCGGCTATACATCCCTGGTGCCCTGGGGCGGCGATGCGTTGCTGGGCGACCAGGTTGCCTCGTTCGGGTCTATTCCTCTCGCCGGGTCGTCGTACTTGGAATTGCACCCCAATGACCCCTTCGTCATCCGCGTCATGTTTACGCCAAGCGAGGGGTCGGCTGCTGGGTTTGACCAGCTCAATGTCATCTCGGTGCCGGTTTACGACAGCGAACCGCGCGTGTTTGCCCTTGTGGCGGTGGTCAGGCTGCGCGCCGATGCATCCGAGGAGGATATGATCCGGGTCTACCATGCTGTTGCTCTCGACAAGACCGTTTGCCTCCCTGCTTAGTGGGCATGCGTGTCGGCGGACTGGAGAGTCGGCGAGCACGGGCACAGCTACGCATTGTTCTACTGCCGTGTCCGGAAGTCCGAGGTGGAGCACCTCAAGGTGCGGCCCGAGGTTGATGCTCGCCACGATGAGAAAGCACATGCTGTCAGCAACGTGCTGCGAGAAACCTTGGACATCTGGACGCCCGTCGAAGGGCTGTCGGAGGAGTGGTCGGAGTGGATGGCGACCGACTTGCCAGAGGTTGTGGGACAGGAGGATGCGGCGGCCGGCATGGGATCGCGCGCCACGGTTACCAACGCGGCGAGCCCGATCATGGGAGGTGGAGGTGCCAGTGCTGGTGCTGGGAGCGGTGCTGGAGCAGCCGGTGGAGGTGCTGTTGGCGGTCACGGTGTCACCAGTGGCAGGGTAGGGGAGCGGGGCCGCGGTGGTAGGGGCTGGAGAGGTCCGCGGCGCAGGGGGGGGTAGGTATAAGCTTGGTGTGAGAATGGAGTTTGGTCGTTGCCGGATTGCCTGTTGCTATGCTTGCTGCCCGTGATCCAAGCCCGTCCTTTTCCCTCCAGAGATCAGGCCGGGAAAGGGGCCCAACAGGGCAGCGAACGACGCCGTGGCGCCTTCCTCATCCAGGTGCCCAGGAAAGTACGAGATGCACAAACAGGCGACCCTGCCAGTGACCGAAGATTATGGAACCTGGAAGCACAGCGACCCGGAAATTCTCAAACCATTACACCCACCCCATTCAACCAGCCAGTCCCAAGCCCAGCACAACAATTCTGTCAAGTCGACGCATATCACAGTGTCACAGCACAAACAGTCTTTCCAGAGCGACCCTTCCCACAGCCAGGTCGGGCACTTCTCTTATCTCAAAGTCCAGATTACGCACGACGACACGGACGCCCGCCCTGCCCCAAGCCCCTCCTCTCTCCCCAGTGAACCGGGTACAGGACAGATTCTTTGTCTTCTGGGAACCAATGTGGTGTGAAGAGTCTTTTCCACCTCGCTTCCTTCCGACGACAGGCCTGGTCACAGTCCCACGGGGATGTCATCTGGATGGTCAAAAGCCTGACGGGTCGACCACAAGGAATGTAATGTCCCATGTCAATGACTCTCTGCATTGCTGCGTTTGGTTCCCCGAGCACATTTCGCTGACTTTGTTTCTTGTCCGGCAGATATCCATCGATTGAACCAAGTACCTGTCTGGACCTGGTCCGTATAAAAGACTTTCATTAATGCAGAGCTCAACCCGGTATGCTGGGGATCTCCAGTGTCTAATTGCAACTTCTAATAGCATATACAAGCAGCCAAAAAGAACCCCCGTCTCTCGTCAAGTATCAATACCGTCAGAGGCAAAGAGGCATGGTTTTGCTCCAGGGAGCGGATATAATTTGTGTACGCTCACCAGCGTCACAAATATACGAGGCATTGGTCCACCACCACCATTGACCATGGATACATGGAACCATGGTCTCCTTCCATCACCAATCTCATGGCCATGGCCATCACCACCGCTCTCGCTCTAGGCATCGTCGAGGATGGCGTCGAAAACTTGTTCGTCAGCACCAGCACTCCATCAATCATATCTAGGTATCGTCCTCGTCACTGTCATCAAAATCCTCGACGCCCCTCCTGACGGGATCGCCAGCCCAAAGCCGCCTTGCATTGGACACGGGCGCAGCGGTATACAAAGACCTAGTCGTCACAGTCAGAATGGCCGGCCATACAAACGACAAAAGGATAACTCACCCGGAATACGATGTCGCCGGGACCGTGGCCAAACCCGACAAATTCGTCGGGTCGGCATTTCCCACGGCATTCCCCGCCACGGGAATGTTCTGCGCCTGGCAAGCCTCGATCATGTCATCCTGGAACGTCAAGTTCTGCAGCTGCCCGGGCCCCGATATTATCGTGGCCGTCAGCCCCATCTCGACGTGCCACTCAATATGGCAGTGGAAGAGGTACACGCCCGGGTTGCGCGCCACGAAGCGCAGAACAGCATACGACTGGCCGTTGACCATGAGCGTGTCGCGCCCCGGCGGGGCCGCGCTGTAGGCGGACGAGCTCGAGTCGTCGGCCGGCGCCTTGCCGGCCTCGGGCGCCGCGCGCTCGAGCACCTGGAACTGGTGGCCGTGCAGGTGGAAGGGGTGGGCGGCGTTGTCGCCGTTGTTGACGACGATCTGCACCACATCGGCCTGGTCGACGATGAAGGGGTTGACGTCGCCGTAGGCCTCGAGCTCGGTGTTGTTGGCGCCGATGGTGGCGGCCGTGTACAGGCTCGGGACCGTCGGGTCGATGTAGGTGTGGTTGTTGAAGCACGCGCGCGGGTAGCCGTTGCTGTCGACGCAGAAGGAAAAGTCGAGCTGGATCTTCTTGTCGTAGTCGGTGGTGCTGGCCGACGAGGAGGTCTTGTAGGGCGCCGTGCCGCTGTAGTCGGTGAAGGCCGCGTCGTCGGCCGGCTGCCACTGTTCCACCTCGAGCACCTCGGTGGTGGGCGCGCTCGCGTTCGCGATCAGGTACCCCGTCATGTTGTTGTTCCACTGCAGCGGGCCGAGGTTGGGGTTGCGGAAGTCGCGGTTGAGGTCGAGGCAGATGAGGAAGGGGAAGTTCTGGCTGTCGTCGGTCGACTCGAGGATGAAGTCGTAGCGCTGGGCCGCGGCGAGGTGCAGCTGGGTGACGGACTGCGCTTCCACCATGGACGCGTCGATCATGATGACCTTCATCGGGATCGAGCCGAAGCTGATCATGGCGCTGCCGAGGGCCGCGTAGCTGATGAGCCGGATGCGGAGCCGCTTGCCCTTGTTGAAGATGATGTTGGGTTTTTCGATGCTGTCGTTGACCAGGAGGTTGTCGGGCAGCGGCGGCCGGAACTGCGTGTTGTTTTGCTGCAGCATTTCGCGGACCAGGTACAGGGTCTCGACGTGGTACCAGTCCGACACGGACAGGACGACCTCGTTGTCGTAGCTGTCCTGGTTGGGGTCGTTGGGGTCAATCACCACCATGGGGCCGCGGAGGCCGTCGGGATACTGCCCCAGGTTATGCGAGTGGTCTGTCTCTCTTGTTTAACGCCGACCTATACAATCAACACCACCTCGACCGCGGAGGGACAGGTACGCACTTACACCAATACGTCCCTGGCTTGTCGGCGGTGAATCTGTAGACCACAGTCATGTTGGGCGGGATTCCGCACTGCGTAACCCCGGCCGGCCCATCCATCTGCCCCGTGTTGATCTGGTTGATGCCATGCCAGTGGATGCCCGTGGTTTCGTTGCCGAGTAGGTTGGTGACGCTGATCTCGAGCGTGTCGTTGACGTTGGCTTGGATTAGGGGACATGGCCACACATTGTTGATGCCGATGACTGGTCTCCCGTAGTCGTCGGGCGCGGCCCATACCCAGGTGATGTTGAAAGAATAGGAGACTGTCGCCGCCCGGGCGGAGCCGAAGAAGAAGAGTCCGAAGACGAAAAGCCCCCTCGGTAGGAGCATGGCCCATCTGCTGACAAGATAGGTTAACGAGTGTGTATGTGTTCGACAGGGTGCGGACCGTGTCGGGTAGGTTCTTCATCAACGAGAAGACTCCCTGGTGAGATTGGAGAGGAAAGACTTTTGTATTATTCCAACCATGAAAACACACCAGGGCGCCACTCTGGCCCCTGCAGCGCCGCATAGCCCCTAATGCACAACGGAGCAAACTCGCCGATGGCACATGGAACTGGAGAGAAATGGTCGATGATGATGCACGCCTGTAGCAAGGTAATTTCCCGGCCCTTGGCCCTTTGATGTGGCGGGAACAGCCCGGTAGTGTTGGACGATGAGTTCGCGCCCATTATTCCAGACGATGAATTCGAGACCATTACTGTGCCTACTGCTGTGGCTTCGGCCCGGGGGCCGGGCAGAAGGGGATTGGGCTCCGGAATACCGGTGAAGCTCCGACCGAGGCCAAGTAGGTAGGTATTTGTAATCAAGAATCGGGCTACAATTGCAGATAATCACGGCAGCCGTGCAGTGAGTTGATGCATCATGCATGCTCGACGTATTTTCTCGCCCCAGGAGGAGAAAGACCTCGAGACCAACACGAGCCAGACCGGAGGCGAATGCGGAAGTCAAAAATATCACTGGGACCCGGCACTCCAGACCGGAGACCCGACGGCCATCTCCGTCCCGATATGTGGGCTGTCAGTCCCACATTTGCCTTGTCGATCGCGTCAAGACGTCTGCGGGCCAGCTATCGGCGGCAAGCGGAACGTCTGTAAGAATCTGAGACACGCAGGGGAATGATCAAACCCGGTTCTCATGAGTTATATCCCAAGATGACCATCATCTACCGCCACAAGAGCTTTCGATGACGTTGAGGTGGTGAAGAAGTCGTGGGAATTGAGGACTTAGACGTCGTCATTCCGTTGCACAGCCCAGAGAAAGGCAGGTGATATTGACTGTCATATGCATACGAGTTTGGCCACACAGAAAACTCGGCAGAAGTACATCCCCCACCCCCTTTTTTTTGGCATTTTTTCAGGGGCAACAAAACAAACCAACCGAGCCCCACAACACCAGGTCAATGACCCACCAGCCCACACAAACATCTGAGAAACTAGAATAACCGGACACATCTGCATCAAATCCAAACCAGCGTCAGTGGTTTAGTGGTAAAATCCATCGTTGCCATGTTCGCATGCGATTCTCGATGGGCCCCGCGTTCGATTCGCGGCTGACGCAATATTTCTTCAAACTGGAAATGATATCTTCTTTTTCCTTCTTTTTACCTTTTGGATTCCTGCCCTGCTCCAATCATTATTGTGAGCACTCGCGTTCGAGCGAAGCGAGCAGCCCGCCGCAGGCGCCCCCGGAGGGCCGCCGGAGGCAAAGCTGAGCGTCCCGGAGGATATCGTGCAGGGGCCGCATCAACATGACATCACCCCCCCCTCCCCCCCCTCAACGCCAGGACACAAACATCGGCATAATAAGCCCTAACTTGTATTTCTAATGCTCAAGACACTACCAGGCCACCACGCATCAAAGCTCGCCAACAACATATTCCCATCCATCTATCCCATCTCGGCTGTACATGTACCGTCAGCCTCGCAGGTTCACCACGCTCACGCTCAACGCACACCACCATCCCGCCCCCCTCCCTCCCTACCCCGAGAAAATATCCACCACCCCGCCCCACCCCCCTCTCGCCCTCTCCTCCCAGTACCCCTCCTTCCCGCCCTTGAGCTTCCACACCTCCTCCCCGCCGGCCTCGTCCCCGCTCCCCTCCACCTTGACGAACCACCTCGGCCTGTGCTCCTCGCCGGCCTCCTCCATCTGCCGCCTTCGCTCGCGCTGCGCCTCCTCGAGCTTGACCTTCCGCTCCTCGGCGGCGTCTAGGTCGCCCTCCTCGGCGAGCCGCTGGTCCGGCCTCAGCCGCGAGTCCGTCGGCGGCAGCTTCCCCTGCTCCAGCGGCGTAATCTCATTCAGCCCCGCCGCGAACACGGGCATGCCGTACGTCTGCGCGGCATTTTCGACGAGCGCGCCGACGCGCCACACCTCGCGGTTCCCGGGCACCGCGCGCAGCGCCTGCGTCCACGTGCCGACGAGCGTGACCCCGGCCGGCGCGCCGTCCCCACCAAAAAGCTCGGCGTGCACGTCCTCGCCGCGGCCGCCAAACACGCCGCCCTTGGACCGGAACTCGACGGCGGCGCGGGCGCCCGTCGACTCGTTGGCCACGTGCATGGTGCCGACGGGCTCGACGTACTTTTCGCCCATGACGACGTTGCGCAGGAACACGGTGGCGACGGCCCAGCTGTAGAGCTCGTCGTCCCCGCCTTCCGGCCGGCGCAGCGCCACGCGCACGCGCCCCTCGGTCGTGATCTCGGCCGACTTGCCCCAGAACTTTTGGGTGGGCGCGGGCGACTGCGAGAAGGACCACAGCGCGCTGTCGGCCTGCATGGCGAGGCGCACGGGGCGGTGCGTCACCTTTTCGACGAGCAGCCGGAAGCCGCCGGGGACCTCGGCGTCGGTGCGCACCAGCTCGTACGTCTCGCCGAGGAGCGGGTTGAAGGGCTTGCGGATCGAGCGCTCCTTGGCGCGCCCGCCACTAAACTGCGAGATGGCAAAGGCCGTGACGTAGAGGAGGCGGTCTGTGGCGTCGGCTTGCTGGGCGGCCTTGTCGAGCAGGTCGGCGTACTCGAGCTGCTCGGCGACGCGCTGGAGCATTGACGTGGGTTCGTTGGTCGAGACGGGCATGCTGACCGTGCTGAGATCCTTGCCGACGTTCTTGCGGACGAGGCCGATGAGGCTGGGCGGCGAGACCGTGGAGGGGGGGATGGTTTTGCGCCTCGGGATCGCGTCCTTGATGGGGAGGGGCGTGAGGGATTTTGGCTTGGCGGGAAAGAGGCTGGCGGCGCCGCCTGCTGTGTGGGAGAACTCCTCGTCGTCCTCCACCGACGACACCGACGATGTCTCGTGGAGGTCCTCGTCCGACGCGGCCGTGTCTTCCTCGCTCTGGTGGTTGATAATCACGAGCTGGCTCTGTGAGGCAGCCGCCTCGCCTGCTTCGGCGTCAAAGAACTCCTCGGTGGATGTAGAGTCGTAGCTGTGCCTCGGCGCGGCGGAGGTGGGGACGGGGAGCCGTCTGCGCTTGCTGGAGTTCAAGAGGGTCGAGAATTCGACCACGACGGAATCCAGGTCTCTGAGGAGTGCCGCACAGTGTTCATATGTGTTGCGCTCTTCTTGGAGAGCCCCGTACGCTTTTTTTGTGGTGTTGGGCGAGGCCGACGCCGCCGAGGTTGGCGTGGGGACGGCCAGGGTCGAGGCGACGGCCGTCTGCATGGCCTGCGACGGCGTGAGTGGCGAGGAGGAGCTAGCTTTCCTCTTCCAAAACGGCCGCTTCTCTGCTGGCTGCGCAAAGTAGCCGTCGGGCTCTTCCGGCAGCGTTGGTGTGCCGGGCGCAAGCAACGAGGCGTGGCTGTTGGTCGCGTGTTTTTGCGCTGCCATGTCCTTGACTAGCCGTCGGAGAGCATCGCGGGTCCCTACAATCCTGCTGACCAGCGTCTCTACCTGCGCCCATTCTCGTTCCTCCTGCGGGTTGTTTGGAGCTACCGCAACGCTGAGCTGCGGGGGACGCGCGACCGGGGGGGTGTTGCTGGCCAGGACCTCGAGGCCGCGGGCGATGCGGCTGGCGCGTTCGATGGCGCTGGCCCAGTCCTTGAACTCCTTTGGGTTGGAGGCCCGGAGATGCCAAACCTCAGCACCTGAATCAATCGTGATCTCGCGGCGCCGCTCGTCGGCCGCCACGGCCGCCAGACTCAGAGGGATGGCGCCTCTCAGGGCCGACGAATTGCGGTTGTGATAATATGACAACGTGCAGGTCGTGTAGTCGAGAGAGAAGAAGCGGCGCGCGTGGCCCTGGCCCTTCTTGCGCCTGCGCTTGTACAAGGTGCCCGTGTGCTGCTGGGCGTTGGAGACGCTGACATCGCTCTTCGCAGGGCCGCGGCCTGTGGCGGGGTGGCTGTGGAGGCTGTCGACCGAGTCCGAGGGCGCGCCGCCCGGACGAGGGCTGCTGTACTTGTTGAGGCTGGTCCTGCTAGAACTCGCCTTCGGGCCGGCCTGGAGGTTGGGCAGATGGCGCGCCGTCTGCGGCGGTGCGCCGGTCGGGTAGGTCAGCAGCACAAAGGTGGCCGTCTTGGCCGTCTGCTTGGAAAAGGTGTTGTCAAACACCAGGCCGAACATGCCGCCGCTCGTCACATCATATGTCCCGACCGAAACCTTGTCGGCCTCGCACTTGCCGTGCCATTTGATGGGTATGAATCCCTTCCTCGCAAGCTGGTCCTGGGCGGTGCTAGCATCCTTTTTCGCAAAGAGGCCCCCTGCTGGTTTATCGGTGGCGCCTTCGGTCGGGTTCTCGAGGGGTGTGTCGTCGGCTTGGGCGGCGAGGGTCGTTCCCCCGGTGCCTGGGTGCTTGACAATGGCAAAGTTTCTGGTCCTTTGCGTCAGTCGTTGCTCGAAAGGGGACGGGGAGGGGGGGCGCATTGTACATGGACTTTTTGTGAGGCTGGACGCTCCAGGAGATGGTGTGGCCTTCGTCCACCTTGACCCAGCGCACAATGTAGGACTGCCAGGGAGAGTGTCTGTAAGCGTGTGTCCTGCGATGCGCACGAGGAGAGGCGGCGCATCCGTACCTTGCTGTGAATCTCGAGCTGTTCGATGCCCGCCATGATGGGCGGATGCAGATGCGACAGGGACCGGGTGTGTGGTGGTCGGTCGCGGTCGCGGTCGGTCGCGGACGAGCGGGTTGTGCTGTGCAGTGCAGTACGGATACTCGGGTTGGTACGGAATGTCGTCCCTCGTCACCGTGTCTCGACTTGCAGCTCGCAGCCGTGTCGCGTCGTCGTCCTAAAAAACAGGTTACGAGTCGCAGGGATGATGCAGCATCGCCTGTGTTCCGTGTTCCGTGTTCCGGGTTCCCCGCCAAACGCCCAGGCCAGTCGAGAGTCGAGAACGCCAGAGACAGGCCTCACCTGGAGAGGGGAGAGGGGAGAGGGATTCAGGGGCTCGTGGGGGGGTTGGGGATTCAGAAACAGTTCAAGATCGGGCCCAGGCCGAGAACAAGCACTGATGGGCGGGCGATCATTTAAGAGATGCTTTCCGGGGCAGCGGGAGTCGTCGTCGTCGTCGTGGCCGTGGCTGAGTGTCGAGCCTGAAAGTCAAAGTGCGGCACAGCGGAGAGGATGCCTGCGATGGATCATGGAAGGGCGCTGTGCCAGCCTCCTGGGCCCCACGCGTCAGCTTCCAAGAACCAGTCAGCCCTATCAGAAACAACTCCCTGATTGGCGGGGCGGTCTCCAGAGTCTCCCAGCTTTCTGGCCATGACATCGAGATCCCCCTCCCATTTTCATCACAAACTCGTCTTCCCTGTGCTTTTGTTCCTGCATCATGCCCTGCAGGCCTTGCACGGGAGATCCCTGATGACATGTTTGGCCAAAGATGGAGAACAGACGTTCCAGAGACAGTTAGACAAATAGACATAGACAGATAAAGTCACATCCACGCGACTCTGTAAATTTTGGCTTAAAAAGGCACGCTATGGCATATGCCTACTTTTTCCCTGTAGGTCTTTGACTTGATATCGGGCTCTGGAACCCCAATGCTTTCCCCCCATGCGCAGCACACAGGTGACCGCCTGACAGTCTGCTTGGGTCTTCATCTAACCCAGCACCATCCCAAGTCATACTATTACATGAAACCCAATCAAACCCATACCTCCCATCCTCTAGCCGACCTCTAGCGACCACCCTGCTGCATCTTCAACATCTCACTCTGGTACCGGAGCTTGAAGCCGTTGCAGAGTGCCCGCATGTCGGGATACTGGCTCTTGAGCAACTCGTACGCATGGGGGACCACCCGGACACTCCACGCCACCACTCTGGACGTCGGGTTGGCCTTCCAGCACAGGTAAAAGTACCCGGGGTGCTTCGTGTCAAGGCAGAAGAAGTACGCCGACCTCGTGGGGTTGGCGTCGATGAACACCTTGAGGAATTTCTCTGTAGCTGCGTTAGAAACCGACCAAACCCACAAAATATCAAGGATGCGCTTACCCAGGTCGGCCCGAGACTCGGCCCTGAACTTCTCATGTCTCATGAGCTCGTCCACCTTCTTCGCCATGGCCTTGACGTGGTCGACAATCAACTCGTCCAGATCAGAGTAGTTGTACTTGCCGCCCACGCGCAGCTGCT